CGGGACCTTTCCAGTCTCAAGTGCCGGGTCTGTTCCCAGGCCCCGCCGCTGAACCCAAAGAATGCAGTAGCGAAGGATTAACCTAAACTTCTATCCGTGGTGCGACCCTGCTGAGTATAGTTAGATTGGCGCACCGCAATACCAAAATTCCTCTCCCTTCGCGATTATTCTGTGCTGCCCGATATTGCAGACGCTTATGGACAGCGGTCAATTCGCTTTAGCGAAATATAGTGGCCACTAGCTGGTTCACCGTCTAATGCTATTCGCTATGTAAGCGAAGGTAACTCATAAAATCCTGCATGGATCGTGGCCGATTAAATTTGGCATAGATGTTTAACGCATAGTTTAGAAGAACGCATCGGCTACTATATATAAAATATACGGTATACTAATATAAAATTTATTCATGTCAGTTATACTATTTGTAACTTCAGAACTTCTGAATTTATTTTGTTGAAAATTCGTGAGCTTTGAATCAGGAGACAGGCATAGGACTTTTTATCCTGTTTCCTTTTTTTTAAATTTTGAGTGGACAGAGTCGAGGGCAAAAACTAGTATATAATGAATACAAGATATAAAAAAAATGGTTGTTAAAATCTTTATCGTCACCTAAAGACATTGCTAATGAACAATACAGTGCTATCTCGTTAATGATTTTCTCACATTTTAATGACCTTTGCATTTTTTCAATAAACACAGGTCTATTAACCTGTGGGTGCAAGTTTTGTTTTAGGAAAATAAAAGGCTTACTAGGTTTGAGTTCTGGGGTATGAAAATCAAATACAAACTTCAATAATTCTTATGATTATTCAATTACAATATCAATGTTTTTCTATTGAATAAGAAATATTGCATCTTATCGTTAATTTCACCACACACATCACATGTCAGGATGGCCGAGCGGTCTAAGGCGCCAGACTCAAGGTTACCTTGCCCATTGCACTGGGCTGCGGGCGTTCTGGTCCTCTCTGAGGGCGTGGGTTCGAATCCCACTTCTGACAAATGTTTTTTATTTTTCAACTAGCTTATCCGTCTATGTCAAATTAAATTTTTAAGTACTTAATACATTTTAGTTCACTTTTACTAAAAAATAAATAATCCAAACAACCATTCGTATGCTTTTGTTCTATCCTTTCGTCGCGCAGAACCCAAAAACGAATCGTCGACGCAAGTCGCTTGCTTTATCTAGTACAGGCATAACGATCACACGGTTGAAACGAATTTATAATAATAACTAGAAGAAGAAGTCATCGGTTCCAGCTATAGTATTTACTAAACCAAGACAAAAGTTGATAAAATTTTTAATGTCATATCTTTTGCTTCTTAGATCAACGGCGCTACTGACACGACGCTCACCTACAATGACATACTCCAAGCGTCTATGAATATTTCTGTTTGTCTCTCTGAACTCGGCTTGAAGAAAGGTGAGACGGTTGGCATATGTTCCGAGCCGACACTGGAGACATGGTCTGTGATCGTCGGAGCGGTCTGCACTGGAGGTGTGATGACACCTTTAAACGTTCGATATGTAAAAGGTAAGATATGGCTACAAGATTGGCCCCCCCCTGCTTGCTGTCTATTTTGCTCGACTTCCAAGAATGTGACCTTCTGGAGCCTAACTGCTGAACCGATATTAATTAATGAGTTTGTCATTCAGTTGTATTCTGTTACAGACGAACTGCGACATGTTATGAATATATCAAAGCCGAAAATTCTTTTTTGTTCAAAACAAGCATACGATAATCATGAAGCTATATTCAAATCATTAGTTTATATTGAAAAGATTATACTATTTGGTGACGAGAGAGTAGAGGGTACATTACTGTACGAAGACTTGGCGACTATAACACCTAATTCGATGTTGAAAGAAAATGTAAATTATGAAGAATTTGAAGTAGTTGATGTACAAGGTCAGATTGATACAGCTTTCCTGATGTATTCATCAGGAACGACGGGATTACCTAAAGGAGTTATGCAAACGCATCTAAGTGCCTTAATTGTGTTTAACTTGTAAGTATGGATGCATGTATTTTCATCTCTTTCATTATCTTTGATTAAATAGAGACAATTATATATTTGAATACAAGTATTTCAGCAGTCGAATTTCAAGTTGAAATTATTTATCGACACATTTTATAATTTACAGATCGTGTTTACTAGATCCAACACATATCGTGTTGAACATAACACCCTGGTACCATGCTATGGGATTAATGAGCACGTTTATATATCTGAGTCATGGCTGCAAACATGTCTTTTTACCAAAGTACGAGACTGACTTATATTTGAAGACCATCGAAAAATATAAGGTAAAATAGTAGATAAGTACATCCATACCTCTACGACTTTTTCCTATTCGAAAACTCGTGTGACAACTCATCCGAAATATTCTTCAACAACGAGCGAAATATATGAATTTAAAGTACTTAGTGTGACATTCCAGGTGAACCTGCTAGTGTTGGTGCCGCCCGTGTTGATGGCTCTTATCAAGACGTCCTCGCAGTACGACCTCAGCTCAGTCCGGGCTATTATGAGCGCAGCCGCTGCACTTAGGAAGGAAACTATCGAAGCTATCAATAAAAAGTAAGTTAAGTTTACGACATAAAACATACGATATTTATTAGAGCTGGAAAAGCCGAACATTATAAGGTGTGAATTAACTTCTTTTTTTAATTTGTATAGATTCAAAAATCTGAAAGGCATTTGTCAGGGATATGGTATGACAGAAACTACGTTCGTTGTCACCATGGACACTCTCTTCACAGATGGCACGTGCAAGCCAGGCAGCGTCGGTAAAGTTGTACCCAACACGTTGATAAAGGTACTTAGTAGACATAAGTCACAAAATATCTTAATAATATTATAAATGTGAATGTTTAGATGGTTGGATGATTGTTTGTACATAACGGCTGAATGGATCTCGATGAAATTCGGCATACATGTAGAACATAGTCTGGAAGAACACATAGGCGACAATTTTTTTTTTTAATTCTACGCCGACGGAGTCGCGGGCAACAGCTAGTTATCTATAACTATAAAACAACTCAAACTATCGTAATCAAAACCAATATATTATATTTTTCACGAAACATACAAATATTATACATACAATTTTTTTTGTGTATTACAAAGATTTTTTCATTTTATTTTTATAATAACAATTTTACTTGACTTTTCCCACATTTTTTTTTACATTACAATATTGTGAATGAAAACAACTTCAATATGAATAAGGGAATTACAATATTGTTATCATATAGGTAGGCATCGCTGCAGTGGAATTATTTATACAGTGGAAGTTTTTAGATAAAAAGCCTTTATTGTGTGCGTTTGTTCGCAACTTCATCTGCAATTAAGAACAACTCTTAGAAGCCTATGCGTTCATCCAAACTGTGTTCTACATCTTTACCAAAATTTCATCGAGATCCATTAAACCATTTTGGATTTACCTTCTAACGAATATCCAAACTTTAGCATTTAAAATGGTAAGCTACTAATGACATTATTTGTCGTAGATAGCAGACGTAGCCACCGGAGAGCCTCTTGGTCCGCATCAAAACGGCGAAGTGTGCGTTAAAAGTCCTCTCATTTTGAAAGATTACATTGGACACGACAAAAATTGTTGTTTAGACAAAGATGGCTTCTTTAGAACTGGCGACGTCGGGTACTATGATGAAGAGAAGTATTTGTTTATTGCCGATCGATTAAAGGAATTGATCAAATACAAAGCTTATCAGGTAAATATTTTTATCATAAAACATTTCTACATCTTGTTAATATAACTGCGTATCAGGTTGTTAATTCAGTTACTAGCCATTTAAACATCTGATTGTTTCTACAAAAAACATATAAATTCAACCTTCGTTCAATACTTGACCGGGGCCGTCCCAAGGATTTATATCGTCTAGATTGATTAAAATACACAAGAATGGCGTTATTAAAAAGACCCGAAACCAACCCTGCATGTATGAACGCGCCAATTGGTATGGAATGGCAAATAGAAGAACTATATTTTTAACTGTAGGTACCTCCAGCGGAGATAGAAGCAGTTCTGCTGCAGCACGAAGGAGTGCGTGACGTAGGAGTGGTAGGGCTGCCGCATCCTGAGGCCGGCGAGCTGCCTGTCGCCTTCGTGGTGCCGCAGCCTGGTGCCAACCCTACCGCAGCAGAACTGCAGCAATTTGTTGCTGAAAGAGTTAGTATATTAAGAAATGTTCGATACAAATTCCTTTAAATAAGAAATAATTTTAATGGCAGTAGTATTATGTTATTATCATCACGAGAATAATACAATCCGAATGTCTCATCATTGTGGATATCAGTGGCAATAGAATGGATTAATAATACTAAAGAGAAAGATTTCTGGGTTAAAGTCTGTTGTATTTAATGTTTATTAATATTAGTATTTTCTGGTTCCAGTTATCAAATCCCAAACATTTAAGAGGTGGAGTACATTTCGTGAAGGAAATATCTAAAACTGCAAGCGGTAAAATACTGAGAAAACATCTCAGAGAATTAGCTGTTAATTTACAATAAATAATTATAACTTAAGCATAAATTAAATTTGTATAACCGTGTAATCCGATTATCGTAAAACTTGTAATGAAACTTGTTTTTGTGAGTAATATTTCATAGAGCATATGAGAGATATGATTTTGTATATTTCTGTCGACAGTGGAAACTCACCCTAAGTTAGCAAAATAAGTGATATTTTTGTTTTATGTTATTTCATGTTGGGAATATTGTCATAATATAAAAATATGGTTTATTACTGCATTAAATTTTCAATTAAATTTTGAGTTGTATCGCAAATTTATCTTGTTATTTTATAATTAACCTGGGCTTTAGTTATATTATAAAATATACGAGTGGTACAGTTCCAATGATGCACTAAAGGCCCTCTTTATAGGTGGAATACCGTAATACACTTCCCGTAACTAACTAGACTTAAGTTAGGCGCATACGCATCATAAGATGAAACGATAAATTTAAATAAAAATTAAACAAAATTCAAAGCAAAATAAATTTTTGATTGAATGCTTAGATTGTTGAAATACTTGAATGTTCAGTTGCGTTACAGTTGTTTTTTTTATTATTTATGCTACTGCAGTTATTAAAAATCTTAATAAATTAATATAAATAATTACCATACAATTGAGAATTCGGTTCCCTGTGATTATATCTTGCAAAAACTTAATTTAATCAAATCAAGATAAATATAATAAAAATACATAAAAACAATACATATTGTTTCTGTACAAAAGGTATAAATTAAATTGATTTGGTTGGACCCATGTGTGACATTTGTGAAACTCTATCAAGAATCAAGAAAGAAGAAATAATTCTTGATTTCACTCTCCAAATTCAGTTAAGACGCTGTTGTACTGAACTATCGCAATTTATCGAGAAAATTGCATCTATTAAAAATTCTGTTCAACCAGAATCTAGTTAAAGGACTGAAGTTACACATACTAAAATATGACTAACCAAGTCTTTTTAGATGTCTTGTTCTACGCTTTTTAGTAAGCGCATTTTGCGTCTGACAGCGCCTTAATACCTTTTTCGTACAAGGAAACAAATTTGAACTTACATACACAATCATACTAATATCATAAATTCGATTGTTTAGATGGATGGATGTATGTTTGTTTGAAGGTATCTCTAGAACGGCTAAAAGGATTTCGATGAAATTTGGAATACATATAGATCATAGTTTTGCAGAACACATAGACTACTCATTATGTTTGTTTTTAATCCGCGCAAACGGAGTCGCGTGCGACAACTAGTACGCATATACATACGTAGACTTTTTTGACCCAATTATTGGAGGCGCTTCTATCTCGGTTAGGGTTGTCAAAAAAATGTATAAATGTTTTCTGATATCTTGGCGGCTTTTAATTACGGGAGTCGCTGTGTAGAACACAATACTTAGACTTTAGATAACAAAGCCCTATTTGTCTTTGTCTTTGTTAGAAGGGGGCTAATTTATTGCAATTTTGTTTACAAATATTTAGTATCATCATCATCAGCTCACTACATGTCCCCACCGAGGGGCTCGGAGCCTACTCTAAGTTAAGGGTGACTAAGGGATATTTAGTATACCCTTAGATAACTTCGTCTGACTATGCCAATCACAGCATTAGTCAACTATCAGCCGGACAAAAAGATTAATAAAATTGAACACCATGTATATTGCGTTAAAAAAATTGTAAAGCATAAATATAGCAGCTGTAAAAAAGTGACATATCCAACAGATATCAATAGAGGTAAGTACTGTCAGCTAAAGCTGAATTCGTATTTAATTCAAACTACTTTTGAAATTAAAGACATGTATGGCGTTGGCGCTTTGTTCAAATTATTATTTATTCTTCTCTTATTTACTAATGTTCTCATCAGTAATCTGCAGTCTTTTTAGATTTCTCTAACTTAATTTACACTAAGATCATATTCCGTACGAACATACTGCTAGGACCCAGAGTAAAGATCCGGCTTGAAGGACCGTGAAACGTGGATTTTATAATTGAATACGAGGTGGGTCTTGTAATTGACGACGGCTGCCCCTCTCCTTCCTTAGTGATCATCTTACTAACATAATAAATGTATGGATGGAGCGTCTCAAGGGATCTTAATTAAATTTGGCATTGCTTTAAAACATAGTCTGGAAAAATACATGGCTTACTCAGTTTCTTTTTAACTCCTCGCGGACGGAGTCACTGGCGACAGCTAGCCTTGCTAATATTATAAATGCGAAGGTTTAAATGGATGGATGTTTGTTAGAAGATCCATAACTGCTCAACGTATCTCGATGAAATTTGACACAGATGTAGAGAACAGTCTGATAGTCTACTAATCATTTTATATATAATTCTAGTAAAATTCCACGAAGTCGCGCGGGCGACAGCTAATTAAACTATATAAATCCTTTAGCATTCATGTTTTGGAAGAAAAAAAAATCATTTGAATTTCAAAAGTTTGTACTTATATGCGTTACTATATTCTCTGTCCATTGTACAATTCGAGTTTTTCGCGCTCACTGTCAAGACGTACAAAATGTTGAAGCAACCAAATTATCTCTTTGGCCTCGACGACAGCACGATGCCAGTGAGAATAAATTTAGGGAATTTTTTGGTGAAAGGATTCAAGAAACATGGTGATAAAGTTGCAATGGTAAGATCATGATTATTTTAACACTAGCTTGTTTAATTAAAAATAAAACAGGATGAGGATACCATGCGTTATGCGAGACTATGTTGTATATACCTTTCAATACGATATGTTTCTATAAATCATTTATACGCCGTTGAGGAATTATCGTATTAAAGAAATAAACCAAGGAAACTGTACATATAATTATGGGATACTATGTTTTATCTAGATCCAAGAAACCGTTCTGAAGATGTCTTATAACAAACATACATTCAAACATTCAAACATCTAAACACACTTATTTATAACAATACACATACTATCTTTTCAAAGCCAAAAATAGTAGGTTGCTTAAAGTTGATTAATTGGGACCACCTATGATTGTCGATAATTTAAATGCTGTAAACATCAAAAATATAACGTCAGTTATTAAGAAAATAATACAATTTTACCATGAAAGATCTACTTTATGCTATATCACAGATTAATGCAGTAACCGAAGAGCAGATAACGTACAATGAAATGGTGCAAGCTGCCATGAACCTCGCCGTATCTCTGGTGCGTCTTGGTGTGAAGAAAGGAGACGTGGTCGGGATATGCTCTGAGAGTCGTTTGGAGAATTGGTCTACTGTTCTTGGAATAGCCAGTACTGGCGCAGTTATAACACCAATTAGTACTGCATATATTAAAGGTAAATCTCATATGAGTTTATAGTTGAAGAAGTATGTAGATTTACTTGTTTTAGTTCTGCAATATCTCGTGATGTTATGAAGCCCTTGTCTGCTTGGATGTTGTTTTTTATTACAGCTACTCTGTCTTACTAAAAAGTCTTCTAAAACTTCTAACTATGGCTTTATAGCAACTAAAAAATTACCTTATCCTAAATTTGTCATTTCTAATTTATGTACTCTGTTTGTGCTATTTTTTATTTTTTAGACGAACTCAAACACGTGTTGAATATATCGAAGCCAAGCTACTTGTTTTGTTCTAAACAAACTTACCAAATGCACGAGGCAGTTTTCAAATCTGTGGAATGCATAAAAGAGATAATATTCTTTGACGAAGAGAGACCAAAAGGTGCATTATATTACAAAGACTTGGCAATAGTTTCTGATGGTTCGATGATCAAAGAGAATGTAAACATAGAAGAGTTCCTTGCAGTGGAAGTAGATGGAGTTACCGACACTGCTTTTATAATGTACTCCTCAGGCACTACTGGAATGCCGAAAGGTGTAATGCTCACTCATTTAAACGTCATCGCTACATGTACAGTGTAAGTATTTGCTTGTGGTGTTTCATTATTGTGTCAAATTACTACAATATGGTTTTAAAAAATAATTTTTAATTTTTAGGCCGGATGTTTGTGATCCGTCATTAAAAGTTTTGCAAATAACTCCGTGGTATCATAACATGGGTGTTATGGTGATGCTTTTGTATATGTATACAGGATCCCAAATTGTATTTATACCAAAATTCGAATTGGATTTTTATTTGAGATCAATCGAAAAATATAAGGTATAGTAACAAAATGTATTTTGTCGCATTTTTATATGGTTCAGTATGGGAGCTATGATTTCATTTCCAACTATTGTCTTCCTTTGTCTTGTGTTTCTTTTATGTCTTTGAGATTGTTAGAAATAAATCCTTACTGCGATCATAATTCAATCATCTATAAGTGATAGCATTTAACAGACGACATCGAGCATACCAGCCGAAATTGTTTGATAGATTTTGTATCTTTTTAGTTATAATTTATTATTATTTTTCAGATAAAGAAATTACTTTTGGTACCATCTGTTATATTGGGTATATGTAAAACATCTTTTACATATGACGTGAGTTCAATAGAAGTCATTATGTGTGGAGCTGCAGTTCTTCAAAATGATACTATCCAAGCTGTTAAATCAAAGTAATTATTTAAAATACACTAATCACTAACAGTGATAATCAGAACCATAATGTATTTCATCATCATTCATCACTTTCACATTTTTTTCTCTTAACATTCGAGGTTTTACTTAAAGTAAGAAATAAATTTCATATCACACTGGAACCAGCCGAGCGTATGCAGAGACAGTCTAAATAGTCCCTGCGCTGGTTTTAAGTTGAGTTATCATCACCTGAGTAATCATATAAATATGGGAGGTATAACTCCGCCTAATATAGCTACAGCATAATACTGACTTTTAAAAATTGCTAAAAAGAACATAACAAATAAAAATAAGATGACCTATCTTTGTGTTTTTAATATCATTAGGTTTTCCCACGATAAAGTTTGAAATATCGCTATTATACGGCGATATAATCAAGTAATTTTAATTTTTGCAATCTAAGTATATAATATCTTGCAGATTTAAAAACTTAAGAGATGTATACCAAGGTTACGGGATGACAGAGAGTACGCTTTTAATATCACTATCCTCGTATATGACTGGACAGAAATGCAAGCCTGGAAGTGTTGGCAAGATTAGTTATAATACAATTTTGAAGGTAAGTGATGTCTAAAAGACGCTAATCATCAGTTTAGAGGCTCCTTCGGTCAATAAGCCAAATGTGGTCTTTCACAAGCCCATAAATTATCTAATTAAAATTAAAATAAATGATACCAAAAGACGTTTGTGATGACGGACTTGACATATCCGTGATGCCCCATAGCCAAAACAGACTCACAAATACTTGGCTGATAAAACGTTTTAATAGATAAAGATATGGTATTATGTTCTTGTAATCATGTTTCGGAGGAGGACCAAAATGAATATTGTAATTGATAAAAGTAAACATTATTTCTTGTTATAGATTGTAGATGTAGAAACAAGGAAACCTTTAGGTCCTTATGAATCCGGAGAAATCTGTTTTAAAAGCCCATCGGTGATGAAAGGTTACATAGGAAGAGACAAAAGTGAAGATTTTGATGATGAGGGCTTTTTGAAAACTGGTGACATTGGATACTATGATGATGAGAAATATTTGTTTATTATGGACAGATTGAAAGAATTAATCAAATACAAAGGTTATCAGGTAAAGACGAGTTTTACATTTAGGTAAAAATACAAGGAAATAGATGGATACGTAGTAGACCGTTTTTTTTTAAGACTCAAGGTTACTGTGCGTTACGCAACGCCCCTCATACGCATCCTTTTACGCATCACTGCATCCCTTTTTATATTCTGCGCAACGAGTAGTACGATTTCCCGAGCTGCCAAATTTGAAAACCCGTTTAAAATGTAATTTACTTATAACCTGGTAAACTCAGGCTAAGTCCTTTCACTGACTTAGGACACAACAATGATTAAAGCTGTTTTGAGGAACTCCAAGACTAGATTATACGCTCTTTTATGTTAATAATGTTCCCATTAGAACATTTAAGGGGTTGGGAATGAAATATCATAATTATATCTACCAGGTTCCTCCTGCAGAGATAGAGACACTATTGCTGCAGCACCCGGGAGTGCGTGACGTCGGGGTAGTGGGGCTTCCACAAGCAGCGGCAGGTGAAGTGCCGCTTGCCTTTGTGGTGCCACAACCTGGTGTTTGTCTTTTAGAGGCAGAACTGCAAAAGTTCGTTGCCGATCGGGTGTGTATATTACATTTTTAGAACCAAACAAACTGATATTTTTTTTATTTATATATTTACTTACATATGTTACATGTAAATCTATACTTATTAATAAAATTGGAGTATCTGTGTGAATTCTCGCAATAAATATGTTTCGGGTAACCCTGATGTATTTAAATAGCTGATATTGAATAACCAATTAAAACTTTAAGTCTATTTGTCGGTATGGTTGTCACAAGGCCGCATGTATTCCTGGTAATTTCCATAACGGGTGGACCGATTTGGACGGGACTTTCGCCGGAAGGTAGCTGTTGCAAGCGGGCTATATATATATATTAAAGGCTTTTTAACTCTAATGATATCGCCGGCGACAGCTTATATAATATTTTGTTGCAGTTGTCAAACCCAAAACATTTACGAGGCGGCGTACGATTTGTTGACAATATACCGCGGAACCCGAGCGGAAAAATATTACGAAAAAATCTGCGAGAGATGCTCGAAAAGGAGAAAAATATCGGATAAATATAACTTTTTCAATTCTGAGAATAAATTTTTATTTGGGATTATTATAAAATTATTAATTAAACTTTTTTTTTATTTTTATAATAAAGTGCTTTGAGGTTTCTTGTAATAAGACTATTAAAAAGGTTTTTCTCAGCGATCTGCTGAATTATTATTAATTACCTTTAATTATCAGTGCCATTATCTTTTTAGCGTCTACTGGCCTTACAGAATATAATTGCAACATAAATATAAATTGCTGAATTGAAAATTTGCAGACCATTTTATACAGGTAGGTGAATGATTAGTTGTAACGGCGTAGAGCTTAAACAATTGAATCGATACAGACGAGTGAGGTTTTATTTGATTCGTATTCTGTTCCGGAGTATCTATATTACTTTGGCATAAGACACGTACAGTGTATGTAAGAAATAAAATTGTATATTAAAAAAAACTTTATTCAAAGGAAGCCAATAGGTGGCGCTATTTAACTTGTTAGAGCCCAAGCATATTTTCCTAGTTAGTTCTCTTTAATTAATTTTTAATTCATAGGTTATTCCTTGTCTAAACGAATTCAGTGCACATGACAAATTGCAACAAACCTATATAAACAATTTCAAATTTATCAAGCTGTTATCAGAAATTTATTAAAAACAGAATTTTTTTTACCATTGATTTTAAACTGAATCGTTCCAAAAATAAACGTCTACCTTTTTATTGGATTGGCTTAGAAGTTTGATTTTATCACTGCTCCAAAAGACAGTAGACCTGAGTATTTAAAATAAATTCCAGCCTAAACCTTCACGCGTTCCTGAGAGAATAGGTCTTGACGTACAGACGGAGGGACAACAAAGTGATCCTATAAGGGTTCCGTTTTTTTTTATCTCGGGGTACGGAACCCTTCTAATTGCATGGACAATAAAATTATTATCATTCAGTGACATGTGTAAATATCATTTCTTATTGAATTCGATTGTAGGCGTGCATGTATAATTAATTTATCTTACTCTATGTCATGTAGGTTTAGCGGTTACAAAAACAGATTTTTTCGGAATCATTTTGAAAATATAATATAATGGATATCCGAAAGATGTTTTTACCTTAACAATGCTTATCACAGTACATGTGTTGTGTTGTTATCTTATTAATATTATAAATGCAAATTAGATGGAGGGATGTTTGTTAAAAAGTATTTCAAGATAGGCTACTAATTAATTTTACTACGAACATATATGCTACTAATAAGGTTGTTTTTAAATTCCGCGCGGACGAAATCGTGGGCGACATCTTGTCCTTGCTAATATTATAAATGCGAAAGCAACTCTGTCTATCTGACCTTCTTTGACGCATAAACTGTACCGATTTAAATAAAATTTCGTACACTACACATGTAGTCTAGAGCCTGGGAAAGGATATGAGCTACTTTTTAAAAGGGTTGTAACGGGTTGAAAAGGACGTTCGAAATATTTATCGACAGAAGCTTGAAAATTATTTTTAGGCTGTTAATTTGATTTAATAACAATGACATTCAATGTTTATAAAAATGCTACCAACAAGGTTGCGAAATAGCAAAAGGGAATGAAAGTTTGTATTACAATATGTATGGTTTATGGAAATGTTTTGAGACTTTGACAGTAGCTTAAATAATTAAAATGCTACCCAAAGACTATTTCACGCGGACGAAGTCGCGGACACAGCTAGCAGTTCATAAAAATTTATTTTTAAACGAATAACACTTTTTTTTCTGACAGTACTAATGTCAATGACTGGATATTATACATAATGTTATTATAAATATCTCACAGAAGAAATTACTTTGCAATCTATTACCACTCTGGATTATATTTCATTATGAATTGCTTATTGTCATTGGTCCATTAATGTTGTCAAGAAGACGTTATCATTAACTGTCATAAACAAATAAAATCAACTAAGTAGCTTCAAAATATTATTTAAAATAGTTGAGCCGATTATTAATAACTTTTGCAACTATAAAAAACTAAAAAATGTGATGTATGCCAAAGTTCATTGTCAAGCAACATAGTGTTAAGTTCATAATGTAATAGTGACTCGTCAGTTTATTATTATCATTGTACATTTGACTCTGTTATCGTAACAACGTGTAATATGTTAAGAAATCCGAAATATGTTTACGGTCCGAATGAAAATTATATTCCTGCGAAATTAAATCTAGGAGATTTCCTTGTGAAGAGATTTAAAGAACATGGTGACAAGGTAGCATTGGTATGTACAAATTGTTTATACAAAATTATTTTTAAATGCCATGGCTATCAGCTTATTTTATTCATTAATTAATGAAATAGCGCTTCAATTAACTGAATTTTTGAAAAAAACAAAGACTTATGTTTTTCTTAATTTAAAGTAATTAAATACCACTTTCTTATTATACTATGGATTTACTTCACTATAGACAACAACAAGCAATATAAAAATAACTTAAAGATAGTGAGATACGAACTCGTTTTTTAACTAGTTAAGAATTTGAATTGTGACCTTCACAGTATGTGTTTTGTGCCAATGTTATTTGTGCGTTTTGTATATGACACTCCGGAGAAGAATTGCATGACACCTCAATCGTCCAAATCGGTTCAGTAAGGCTCTGGGTCGTCACAAAAGATACATGAAAACCCACAAAACCACATCCATAAAAACAGAACTTAAATATATGTGCGAAAAACATTCTTATCAGTAGGGTACTAACAAAGGATGTTTCATTTTTGGGAAAAAAAATTACGAAAATCAATGAGTTACACAAACATTTTTTTTTGTTTTCTTTATATTGCCATCAATTGTGAAAACGCCCCTGATTCGGGATTATTAACTGTTTACATTTTCTTTCCAACCCATTGAAAAAATGGCGCCATTTTACTGAATTTATATGTAAATCTGTTGCTACTTTTTTAACATTTATTTATCATTAAATACCATCGCAAGTATCTGATAAGAAAAATTTGATAAAAATTTTGTATACGTCATGTTATCTTACTAATATTATTAATGCGAAATTTTGGGCAATAGTGGATGTAAAGATGTAGATAATTTATAAAATAGATAGTTTTAACTGGAATAAGTCATAATGTAGTAATTAAGTTTTTTTAATTCCCTCTAGATCAATCTTTCCCAAAGTGTACGATAGCAACCTTGTGGGCGCTGCAGGTTTCAAGTTGCCGGTTATAGTAAAAGTTTCGTTTAGAATTCTCCGTTAATATACATATATAGGTCACAAAATTAATTAATTTAATTTGAAGTTATAGTGGTTTTTAAATATGTAATTCCAACATTAATAAATAACGTACCTACTGATATAAAAAATAATATAAACAACAAAAACTTAAAAATATACTTAAAAATCATTATCTAAAATCCTAAGTTTAATAAATTTATAACGCGTTTGTGCACCCTGTATTTGCTGTAAACAAAAAAAATGTAACTTAGCTACCGTTTCATTTCATAGCGTAGTACCAAACCCGCAATGAATTTATAGACACTTTTATTGTAAATTTGTATTTTATTTCTTGTTTATATAAATAAATAAATAAAATATGTGAAAATATGGGGGCGCTAAAAAAATATTTATTCTCAAAGTGGGCAGTAGCCAATATAAGTTTGGGAACCACTGATCTAGATGGAGTCACGGCTGACAGTCATTTATGAAACAAATTTATTCATAAGTTATTTTAAATAGTCTATACCCGTGAGTTTCCATTGTCGAAACAATGTGTACAAATATTGTTGTCTCCATAACCATAAAAAAATAAATTGCAGTTTGATAACTTCACGCGTTTCTGAGATAAGGGGTCTTGACAACAGACGAGCGGACAACAAAGTGATTATATAAGCGTTCCGTTTTTTTCCTATGAGGTATGGAACCCTAAAAACAACGTAACAAAAAGTATCGTTCGTCATAAATATTATTTGAAATCATTAAATACAATATTGTTGTCGTTTACAAGTTTTCATAGCTAGTAAAATATTTGTTTTTCTCGTTAAATGACTATGCCATTTTTATGCGTGATTACAGCATGTTTGGACAAGACGTGGTACTACAGTACTCTGATGGAAATATGATGATTTAACGCAACTTATATTTATACAATTAGTATTTTAATTCACATTTTTTTTATAAATTCATTGGGACATTATTATTAATTCAGTCATATTTTTGTAACAGCCTTTATACTGATTTTTTTTTAAATTAATAAGTATTTTTTTTCGCGTAAAATTTTGTCGCGAATATTTTTTGCTACAAAATACTATTTTTCTACTACATTTCGTTGCATTAAGATATTTGTACTGTGGATGTGACGAGTGACCCGATATTTGACATAATTTTGACATCACATTACACCCAGCCCCGAATGTACATTTTTTTACACGGGGCAAAACTCAAAGGTTCTACCACCGTCCACTTATTTGTATTTTTATCTATTACGTTTATTTTTTGATGAAAGTTAGACAAATGATCAGTTTTGATTAATCTGTAAACTGAGAATTTTGCCACCTCCTAAACTTCTCTCTCTCCACGCTCAGGGTATGTGATCCGGCTAGACGCCTCTTAAATCTGGGGCAGATTGCAACACACGGGGTCAGCTAGGATTATTTGAATAAAGGTTTTTAAATACATTAAAACTTTATCTATAATTATTCACCATTGTTTTCGTTTCCCTAATGTCGTAATAAGTCAAGATCAAGATAAATATTTTTAGAAAAAAAAAAATCAAGTTTTCTATTTTATTTTATCAATTTTTTTATTCCTTATAATAAGTTTTTTTAAGATTTTCCTTACGTCATACTAAGCTATGGACGTCATTACTAGAGTTTTCACACGAACATTAATTACATTTAATTTTGTTTAATAATATTTTATTTTCAGTAGCATTAAAATAAAATTTGAATTTTTGAATTTCCTATTTGCCATTTGCCGTTTGTTACTTGAAATATTATGAAAACAATATGTATGTTAAAAACAATAAATCCTTACTGTATGACAGTTATGACACTCAGGGGAATTTTACGAATCGAATGATACCTCACTCGTCAAAATCGAGTCATTCATTTAGACTACAGGGGGTTACAAAATAACTTACATATCAAACCCGTATTCATAAAAAAAATCAAAAACTTTTTAGTAGTCCGAATGCCACTGAATTAAACGTTAATTTGTTTTAGATAAATGCAGTAAACGAGAAACGAATCACATACAATGAGATGGTCCAAGCAGCTGTTAATCTCGCGGTCTCTCTAGTCCGTCTCGGCGTGAAGAAGGGAGACATTGTGGGTGTGTGCGCGGAGAATCGACTGGAGAACTGGTCCATTGTTATAGGAGTAGCCAGCACCGGTGCTATTGTAACGCCTATTAGTGTAGGATATGTTAAAGGTAACATATTGATCTCCCTGCCGCGACCCTTCTCACTCTGTACCACGTATATATTTTTTATCGTCTCACTTCAAGTAGACCTTATAGATTTGAGTTCTTATTTATGACCATAGTTAGAATCTAAATTATAAAAAGAAAAAGGATTCAAAAGTATAATGCTGTAATATTATAACAAACAAGCTTAGGATAAACTGATATATAAACACGGCTAAACACTCACGTATATACGTCCGGTGGCGGCACCGACTAGTTTCGAGCCCATCGGGGGCCCTTCATCAGGATGAGTGGCACTGGTATTGTTTCGCGGACGCGGCCCGTCGCTCACTGACTCACTGACACTCAGTGAGCGACGGGCCGCGTCCGCGAAACAATACCAGTGCCACTCATCCTGATGAAGGGCCCCCGATGGGCTCGAAACTAGTCGGTGCCGCCACCGGACGTATATACGTGAGTGTTTAGCCGTGTTTATATATCAGTTTAATATAATGTCTCACGGAAGTTTGAATAATTTAAACAAGCTTAGGATATTCCAAGTTTTACAAATAGGCATTCTAAAATCTCAACCATCTTATCTTACTAATATTATAAATGCGTATGTTTGGATAGATGTTTGTTTGAAGGTATCTCCAGAACGACAGAACTGATCTCGATGACATTTAGCATATAATAGATGTAGAACGCTAGCGACAGCTAGTTTAAGTATAAAGATCATATGAAACGTTCCTGACTTACTATAATATTTTTTAGATGAACTTAAGCATATATTAAATATATCGAAGCCAAAATATCTATTCTGTTCAAAACAAGCTTACCAAATACACGAAGGCGTCATCAATTCTCTGAGCTTTATAAAGAAGATAATATTCATTGATGACGATAGACCAAAAGGTGAACTATGTTATAAAGACTTGACGATAGCATCAACTGGTTCGTTAATCGAAAAGAATGTGAATGTAGAGGAGTTTCTTGCTGTAGACGTGGATGGACGGACAGACACCGCTTTTATAATGTACTCGTCAGGCACGACTGGATTGCCAAAAGGTGTGATGATAAGTCATCTAAATGTAATCGCTACTTGTACAGTGTAAGTATTTTTAGTAATCATTATAATAATACGTAATTGTTAATGGATGATTGGAACTCATTAATCATTGGAGTCCGCAGTAGTAATAGTAATATTGCTAACACTTCACACCTGACCGTAGAACAACACGGAGGACAGGTGAGCGTGAAGTGGGGCTATTGGGCATAGTAGTTTGTGCCTATGTGATTTTCGACATTTTGACGCTGATGTAGCGTTTTGTAGCGGTGGTACTGATTCGAACAATAATATAGGTAGAATTAACTGTTACGTAACATGAACAGGTGCACTTGAATAAGAACGAAGAAGAAGCTGTCTTTTCTAAACAATCGCATATCCAATTATATAGTCAGTAGGAGGAGAACGCAGAATTACGTTTTCCTTCGTCTGATGGGTGTACTACCTACGCTACCAATTGAAGTAACAAATCGTCCACATCTCCTTCCCACCAATTTCTAATGAAGATAAGGAGGGAATGTTTAGTGGATTTTATGGTGAAGGTATTTGTAGGAACGTTGTGATTTCAGACCAGATGTATGCGATCCGACGTTAATTGTTTTGAACATAACTCCATGGTACCACGCTATGGGTTTGATGATGATGCTCGTGTACATGGGACATGGAACTAAGACAGTTTTTCTACCGAAATTCGAAATTGATATTTATTTGCAAACAATAGAAAAATACAAGGTCAGTGACCCAGATATAAATAAGCCAACATTTCTAAAAATTATAACAACTTCTTAAAGTTGTAATTAATAATCAAATTTTGTACTTATGAGGACGATTCATTTTTATTAGTTGCAAACCTAAAGTAACATATTAGTGTAAGGTGACTTGAACTTTTCTTTATAAGTATCAAAATATTATAGAATATCTTTGAAGTTGTAATTTAAATAGAGAACGTATACATACGAGACTAACCGTCATAAATTACCAAGAACTTATTAATATTTTAATTTCAGGCCAATCAGTTAACATTGGTACCACCTGTGATACTGGCATTGACTAAAACAGATATCAAATACGACGTGAGCTCAGTACAAGTGATCCTCAGTGGTGCTGCTGTCTTACAAAAGGATACCATCGATGCTGTTAAAAAAAAGTAAATTTTCAAACATGGTATTGAAATTCAGGGACATGTAATAGGATTGTTTGAATAGAGTTGAAAAAGATATAGTTTGCATACGTTGAAAGAATGAATGAAAGGAGATTAAGACAAGGGAATTTTTGACACAAAATTATAGCATTGTAGGTTGGGGCTTGTACTGTCCAGATTGATGAAAAACACTCAAGAAGTGCAGTATTAAGAGCACATGAAATCGACGTGCATGCGTAGATGTATGAATGTAGAAGCAAGAGAGGTGGGTTAAAACCACCCCTAATGTAAGTCCATGGTAACCTACCCCACTGGGTTGCGGGCGTGAGTTATTCTGATTATATTATAAAATGATTCTGAATGTTCCAGCAATTTCTATAGTTTAAGAAAATAATTTTCTCTATTAACCTAAATTTGATGATACATCCTTGGATTATAGATTTCCAAATTTAAAAGACGTATATCAAGGCTACGGAATGACAGAGGCGACGGTGATGATAACAATTAACTCGCACGTAAATGGAAAACAATGTAAAACAGGGAGCGTTGGAAAAGTTGTTAATAATACTGTAGTTAAGGTTAGTAGATTCAAAATAAATATATATAAAATATAAACTAATATTATAAAGCGGAAGAGTTTGTTTATTTAAACGCGCTAATCTCAGGAACTACTGGTCCGATATGAAAAATTATTTTTTTGTTGGATAGTCCATTTATAGAGGAAGGCGTTAGTCTATGTAACATTACGCTGCGACCATTAGTTTTTATAATTCCGCGCGGAAAGGGTCGCGGGCGACAGCTAGTAACTTAATAAATAGTGTTCTTCCAGACTATGTTCTATATACCTAACCACAAATCGATACAATTGAATTAAAATTTTCAACAATTAAAAACTATAAATTTGAAATCATTGTACTGATGAAATAAATTATGACCTGTTTTCCAGATAGTTGATATAGAAACGCGTGAACCTTTAGGACCATACGAGAAAGGAGAACTATGTTTCAAAAGTCCTATGGTCATGAAAGGGTATATAGGAAGAGACAGAAGTGCAGATTTTGATGACGAAGGCTTCTATAAGACTGGTGATATCGCGTATTACGATGATGAGAAATTTATGTATATTGTAGATCGACTTAAAGAATTAGTAAAATACAAAGGTTTTCAGGTTAGAAAATAATTTAAAATACTTAATATTCCCATAATTAAGGTAAAATGCACATCCGTTATCGATCTTAACATAGATTAAACAATAGTTCTAATAAGAAGGATAGAGAAAAACAGAGCCATCTGTCAGGCAAAAAGAAAAGTAAAACTCATTTTCTCGTTTGGATTTTGTTAGGTCAAGATACTGGTCAGCTTTGGTACATCTGCGTTTTAACTTCGTCGGCGATATTTTTCTCGATTGTAGAAGATTCTCTTCAGTGTTTTTCGCTTATCCAGTTCTTCTTTATCCAGGTTTTTCTTCAATATAACATAATTTCTTAATTCGTCAGGTTCCCCCAGCAGAAATAGAAACGGTATTAATGCAACACTCGGGTGTACGTGACGTAGGCGTGGTGGGATTACCGGACGAAGACGCGGGGGAATTGCCTCTCGCTTTCGTAGTACCTCAAGCTGGTGCTAACATTACGGAGAAAGAGCTTCAAGATTTCGTCGCTGAAAGGGTTTGTGTTATCAATTATCTTCTTTCTGCTAAAAATTCCAGCGTAATTATTGTAGTATTTTAATGAAAGAATTAACGTAGTATTATAAAAAGCGAGGTAGATTTTGTTTAAACGCGCTAATCTCAGCAACTATTGGCCCGATTTGAAAAATTCTTTTTTTATTGGATAGTCCATTTATGGGAAGACTTTAGGCTATATAGCATTACGCTGCGACCAATATATTTTTTTAATTCCGCGCGGATAGAGTCGCGGTCGACAGCTAGTTGAAATATAAGAAGTAAATTACAAGCAATTACAAATAACAATTGTAACAAGGTAGACTGTTACGACGCAATTTGATTAGTCGTTAGTGTGGGATGCGAGATATTTCTGTTCACGCTTTCTGTAAAGTTCGCAATCGCCCGTTTTCATTAGAATAGCTAACATTTGTTTTGTAATATTCTTTACCGTGCATTTATCAATTAAATCCCCGCATTAGGCTTGCTTTATATCAACCGATGAATTTGATTATTGTTTAGAAGTGTTACGACCGAGTTAACGTCTAATTAAATTGCGCTATTAAGAAGACTTTATTACACTTTAATAAGAAGGAAATTCACTTGAAACTTTTTTACATAACCATATTAAATCTGTGTTTATACAATTAGATATGAAGCTGCGATATTTACTACAGTTGTGTTGATAACATAATAATATTGTTCCAGTTATCAAACCCGAAACATCTACGTGGAGGTGTACGTTTTGTTAAGGAAATACCTAAAAACCTAAGCGGAAAAATTCTAAGGAAGGTTCTACGCCAGATGTTAAAAGAATAAAAAGTATTATAAAAAAATATAAGATAAAAACCTCATTGTTTTCTATGCATTTATTACACATCAAAAAGTATGAAAAAATGAATGAATTGTTAATAAAATTAGTATACATAAATTGTTTATTTATCTTTACACAACTAGGTGTAGCCTGCGGCTCCGTCCGCGCGGCATTAAAATATACTTAATTATTAGCTTATGTGTTCTTCCAGACTATGTTCTACGTCTGTGCCACAATTCAGACACCCGTTAGGTCATTCTGATGATACCTTCTAACATAATTCCATTCATCCATTTTAATTATCGCATATAAAATATAAGTAAGTATATAAGTATTAAATAAGATGTACATAAATGCCAATTTCACAGTGACCTTTAACCTAAACGTCTCAACCGGTTTTTGTTTCAAAGTCACACGATTATCATTCAGCGAAATGTCATAGGTGTAGAGTTAGATTTTATTTAATTAACAATTAATTTTTATTCAAGAAAGACAATGGATAATTAAAGAAACATACTATGTAGACGTAGACAGCTAAATGTATTCTGTTGTCAAATTTTTATATTAATTACCTACTGAAAATCTATGCTAACTTTAATTTGAATAAATTAAGAAGATATATAAATATGTAAAATAATATTTTAATACTTTATAACTTACAAGCTGTCGCCCGCGGCTCCGTCTGCGCGCAATAAAATAAATCCTTAGAAGCCTACGTGTTCTTTCAGACTATGTTCTACATCTGTAACGAATTTCAGCGAAATCCGTGCCGCCGTTTTGGGGATACATTTATACAAACATCCATCTATCCAAACATTCGCTTTTATAATATTAGTAAAATTTAACTTTCCCGATTGCAAATATAGTTTTTGAGATGAAAATGCCTGAACGTAAATAGTTTTGACCGGTAAAATACGGCGACCGTATAGAAGACAGGCGTCAAGTGGAAGCAATTCCGCGTTCCGACTAATGAATGTGCGTGCACGAGGTTTAATTTGGAAAGAAGATGGGAACGCATTCGGCGAATTAAGCTGGCTTGCTCGATCACCGCTTTATGAAAGCAAAATAACTATGTATTAATCGAATTTCTACTTCCTAAACACACATACAGACTTCGATAAACAATAACATGTAATGCTAATCGAAACATACAAAATATTTATCTAAGTTTTTAATATGTCCAGATAACATACAATACAATCCTGAACCAGTGGGGTAACTAAATAATAATTTAAAGATATTAATTATCAGAGTTTATTGTTTGATAAACGGAATACAATTCATATCTAAAGTATGTTATCTAATAGAATGTATTTATTGTGCAAGAAAAAAGGTAAAAACACACTTGTAATTAAAGAGATTAGTTTATTTTGTCCATTATTGATTGAAATATAATACATACTCATGTTTTTTTACACTATAATATTTAGTAATTATCTAGCGGTATCATTGGAATATGATAGACTGAAGACGAGTCTTAAATTGTACGCAAATTGAAAAGCATTTAAACTATCACAATGTAATTGCGGCGGCCGGCGACTTTGATAGCGCAAAATTAAAAAAGTACCAAATAGGTTACTTTTTTAATTTATTTTAATACATTACTGTCTTTATCAGCTACATTACAGTCAAAGTCCCGTCAAAATCGGTCCACGCGTTCTGGAGATTATGCGGAACGAACGCGACCTAGCGCACAGACATATAGGGGCACTAAAATTTAAAAAATACGTTTTTTTTTCACCTGCTCCATGCGCTCGGAATGAAAAACAATAAGCAACCTATGTGTTCTTCCAGACTATGTTCTACATGTATATCAAATTTCAGCGAGATCTATTGAGTCGTTCGGGAGATACCTTAAAACTTATCTGACGACTGTACATTATTATTTTTATATCATCTAATTATTGTTCGCTCTACTAGTATTGTTGCCAGTCATCATGGCTTGTAAATTTTACAAACAAAAATGACGCGACAACGTGAGTTTTTAATACATTGGATATTTAAAACGTTTGCGAACGTACATATATCGTAGTAATTACATTGTGGTCATCGGGGATCTAAAAGCGAACAGGATCGCAACGGTATTGGTTGCTTTAAGCCAATGCTTCGGCCCCAAACACACCAACGCTATAAGCTATGTCCTTTTAAAAATTATAGTATAGCATAGTAAATGGTTATCTGCTTAATGGGTGTTATTTTCTTAAACATAAATATATAATGATAACTATTTTTTATTTAACTAATGTCGATAGCGTCTGTATGTTTTCCCTATCCGTACGGAAGCTCGGTGTATTATGTATATTACTGACCTTTATACACGGACTGGCTATAAGACAAAGAATTTTGTGCCTATTTGAGGGATCAGTATCCTTTACCCTAAACCACTGCTATGCCCGAAAAATTAAAAAAAAGAACAAATTGCGCATTTATAAAACTTTTTGCTTGCACAATGACATTATTTTGTTTATTCAGTCTTGACATTACTAAACTATAAAAAAACTATAAACTAACTATAACTATACCTTACTTTGCAAGATATGTCAAGTTCAAGTAATCCAGTAATCTATAAAATGTGTAATATAAAATATATTATCGCCTTGTGTGTATGACAAGCAGAATATCGCATGATTACTCACTGCCGGCCGCTTGTAATAGTGGCCTCGGTTCGGCGTGTATCAGACGTGTTTATCGTAAACAAGTTATATAATGTTGAAAAATCCCCTATATGTTTATGGACCGGAGGACAGATATGTGCCCGCAAAATTAAACGCCGGTGACTTCTTATTACAAAAAATATGGGAGCACAAAGAAAAAGTTTCTATGGTAAGTTATTTTGTAAATTTAATTATAGGATCAAAGTTTTTAGATAAAATGATTAACATCACTTAAGTACACTGTTATGATAAAATGCTTGTAATATAACAAATTGATGTCATATTTAAACATTTATTTTGTTATTCTTGAAATTATTTCTGAAGGTCAACAGCCGTTTGACATTTGTGTATCACAGATAACAAAGATTTCTTGTTTGTAAACTTCTATCATAATTTTAAGATAATAACATGCCAATATACACAATCATTAGTTATTTAAAGTTTTAAATTATAAACTTATCTATACTAAATAATACTCATAAACAATAATTAACATTTAACAATCAAACACTTCTTTGGCCAAATATATTAATATATAGATAGAACTAAACTCTACCAAAGATTTTTTGTGGTTGATTATAATGTGTAGGTATGTTAAAACAATTTGATCTCGGCCGTTTTTTTTTATTTTAATGTCCTCTTATGACCTCTATATCTCTTAACCTCATGCTAATGAAATCTAAACTATCCGACAATCGGTATATTCAGTACCGGCCTTAAAACACTTCGGGTTTCCTCGAAAGACTAAACCTATATACTATAATATTATATAATAATACAAGGCGACTGTTGCAGTTGTATAAGGAAGGAAGTATAAAATACTAGCTGTAGCCGCGACTTCGTTCGTGTAGAATACTGTCTTTGGGAAGCATTTTAATTATTTAAGCTAATTATTTAACTTAAACTTAGAAAACATTCACAGAAACCCTTATTCACACTCTTAATGATTATTTTACAAACATTGAATATCATTTTTATTTATATCGAATTAGCAGCCAGAAAAATTTTAAGCTTCTAACTTTACAATGACGCTACATCCATATAAATTTCCAAACCCCTTTTGCAACCCCCTTACAACCCTTTTTTGCGTTAAAAAGTAGCATGTATTTTCCCCAGGCTTTAGACTATTTGTGTACCAAATTTAATTTAAATCGGTTCAGTAGTTTTATATGAAAGAAGGCCAGACTGAGAGGCAGAGTTACATGCATTTATATATAAGTAAGGCTTAATAAGGACTCGCTTGTAGAATTTTTTTTTGTATATCTAAGTATATTTGCGTAAACAGGTTGTACATCAAAATGTGAAAGTCTGTTTTTTTAATTACATATTGATAACATGGCAGCAATACATATATTTATTTCATTATTTACATTTTAATAATTCGATAAAGGTAACTAACAATGTCCTGAAAAGTTTCAATAGATAATTTTAGCTACAATTTTCGACAATAATAATATCAGCTTGTATCATCTTGATCTTTATAAAAAGTTTCTTATTTAACAACAATATGACGTCAAATATAATTTAACATAGAATACTGCAGCATATTAACTGCAATACTCAGAGACATTAAATCGTTTTGTAAACAGTTCCTAAGTGTAAATTTATCTGATTTATCACTACGGTTATTTAATAGTTACCTAATCAGTGTGTTATTTTAGGTTAGTCTTCTTTAAGGTTTACTTCTCATCAATTTCGAATACTTAAGATTCTATTTATGATTATTTTTTTTAAATTTTTGTTACTAGAGATAATGCAAAAACTAATATACCATATTAAGATTTATGTTGCTGTTTTTATAGATAAATGGGGCGACTGATGAAAAATTAACTTATGGAGAGATAGCCCAAGAGGCTATGAACCTTGCGCTATCTTTGGTGAAACTCGGCGTTCGTAGGGGAGATGTCGTAGCAATTTGCTCAGAGAATCGACGTGAATACTGGAGCACTGTTGTTGGAGTTATTTGTGCCGGCGGTGTTGTTACCACTATCAATACTATTTATACCAAAGGTAAGCCTCTTTTCCACTAGGAGTAAATTTAGTCGCACGACCCCGGCATTGCGTGGCCTTTTTTATAAGATAAGAGGGCAAACGAGCAGCGGTAACACCGAGTTACATGACACCCAACACTGCAACACCAGAGGAACCGCAGATACGTTGTCGGTTTTTGAGATGGTGATACGCTCGCTTTTTGAAAGATCCTTAGTCGTAGCAGTTCGGAAATACCGCTGAAGACAGACTTGTATCTATGAGCAAAGATACAATTTACTGTTAGGGTTACGTTTGACAAAAAGCGTAGTGGAAAGGTGGTCTAATGTCAAAAATGCTTCGAAATGACGTAACAATGAAGAATAGTAAAATTGATGTAAACGATATTATCTCAATAAGGATGAAATTTATCATAAAAATTAAATATTTTATCGTATCTAATCAAGTTTTTGTTGATTTTGTACTGACCATTCGAAGTACAATGGTCAAAAATAATTTTATCTAAGAATGTACTCCTGTATCTTGCCTAATGATTTCCTAATTATTAGTTAAAATACATACTTATATTACTAATATTATAAATGCGTATGTTTGGATAGATGGATGGATGTTTGAAGGTATCTCGAGAACGGCGGCATGAATCGGAAATTTGATATAGACGGGGAACAGTCTAGAATAACACATAGGCTACTACTACTAAATAAGTTTTTTTAATCGGAGTCACGGGCGATAGCTAGTAAAATATAATTTGCAAAATTATATTTTTTTTGTTTAATTGTATAATTGCTCGTTTGCCGCCTTCTGATATTAAAAATAATTGCGAAATTAACCATCATTATTTTTTTTGGCTTTTTTTAAATTTCTTTTTATTAATTTACAGACGAACTGAAACATGTAATGGATATATCGAAGCCAAAATATGTGTTCTGTTCACCATTTTCTTATAAAGCGCAAGGGAAAAACTTCAGTACTATACAGTATATTAAAAAAATTATAGTATTTGGTGAAGAAAAACAAAAGAACACTTTATCTTACAACGACTTGACTATAATTGGACGAGGAGCTAATTCTATGCTTAAAGAAAATGTCAATATTGATCAATTTGACGCAATAGAAGTAATGGGACAAGACGATGTAGCTATGATATTGTATTCATCGGGAACGACAGGTCTACCAAAAGGTGTTATGATAACACATTTGAATATTTTAACTGCTTGCTCGTAAGTATTTCATATTATGACAATATTATAAGTACGTCGTAGGACTTAGTTGGCACGTCTGGTACAAGAGTACTCTTGTTTCTTACGTGCCAAGTCAAATTTGGCAATTATAAAGGTAGTCAACGTGCTAAATTTATTCAATTTATTATATTCATTGTACTAATTAGTAAACCATAATCGCACTTTTTCAGTTTGTTAATATAAAACAATTACTAATTAGATGCTAATTAGTTCATTAGATTTGGATATAAATAATATTAATATTTTTGTATTGTTTGGGTATCATATTTTTCACAGTCATATTTTTTTTTTGTATATCTATTCCCTTGAATTATTCTTATTCTTTGACCATGAAAAATACGATTTAATCTCTACATTTTGCTATTTAATATTCTATGTTATCTGTACAAAACCCAGAATATAATAAAATAGTTTATATATAGATTTACATAATGTTATATAAGAAAACTCAAAGTTTATATGTTTGTCCCCATAACAATACTAAACAATACAACAAATATTGATACTTAGGTTAAAGAGAAAGTTATTGCCTTATCAAAATTCGAAATAAAAAAAACATTTATAATGTACCTTTTTGCTTGTACTGGTACAGTCCATTTAAGCCGAGTTCAGCTATATTAAAAAAAAACCTTATCGTCTGCAGGTCGACAATGGAGACGCCAGATTTCGTCTCACTGACTATAACACCGTGGTACCACACTATGGGTCTTATAAGTCACCTCATTGGTTTCGTGAAAGGGAAAAAGACAATATATCTACCAAAGTTTGATGTTGAACAATATCTACAGACTGTGGAGAAATATAAGGTACATAACTTTATATAAATGAAAGTGGAATTTGAATATTAGCACATAGCAATACTAAATAACAGAGATCAAGCAGACTAAACGATCAACTTTTTGGTAATATACAGATCTGTTTCACGCTTTGAGTTGTTTGATATAGAAAAACAGACAAGCCTAAAACAAGTTATATTTTCTTTCTGTGCATCCTCTCCTCCGTCGAATAAAAGTAGGCAACGCATATGCAATTGCGTATGTCTATGATCAACGGTCACTTCGTTATTTCAGCGATTTTAGGTGCCTGCTCGCTCGTTTGCAACCTTATGATATAAAATAAGTCAGTGTTCTCACCAGATTACGCGAGAGTAGCCATTGAATAATGTTTTATAAAAGTTTGAATTAACAATATTTTATATTTTATTTTATTTGATGTCGTAGCAAACGAGCAGTCGGCTGCTTAATTCACCTACATATCGAAACTGTGCTGCCTATAGACATATATAAATGCAGACTCGTTACCTAGTTTTAATCGACGGAGGGACGCACAGGAATGGTAACTACATTTCCTCTTTCTATGCATCCACTCAGCCGTCAAATCCACTTCACCTTCCCGTCCTTTCCTAACAAGAATAAGATGGGAAGGGGAAAAGTATTAAAATTACGCCTACAACACGCAATCTTTTTGGCAGGTATCTCAACTTACGGTGGTGCCTCCGGTACTAATAGCGCTTTGCAAGACACCGTCAAAGCATGACGTCAGCTCTGTCATGGTGGTGGTCTCAGGCGCAGCGCCTCTACACAAAGAAACCGCCGATGGAGTATTCAAAAGGTTGATTTATAGTATACGTATATTAAAATTAACTTTTTAGATATCATAATGGTATAAAAAAATATGTTTAAAATTAAGGGCAGAAGTGATGAACACGATTAAAGGAGAAGCAAAAGTTATTTTATGTTGCAAATATCAAAGACGTACCTACATAAATACTGATTGTAATAGGATTGTCATTTTCTCTGATAAATCGATATCATGAAAAGATAAATTCACTTTATTAATAGATATGTTACGGAAGCATCTTGAACTTCAACAGTTAATAATCAGACAATGCATATTATAACAAACAGCAACAAAAACATGAATTATTTTCAAATTACAATTAGTAAAGTTTCTAATCGATTGCCTAACGATATAATAATAAAATTTTATTGCTTTACAACTTCTTTACAATTTATGGTATTTAATTATTCCTATTCTCTAAAACCAAATTAATTTAATCAACTCCACTAGCATTTGAATTATCGGCAGCTGGTTGTTTGTTTTAAAAAGCTTGTCGGAAAGCCGACAACGTTATAATATATATAAATACTAGCTGTCGCCCGCGACTCCGTCCGCGTGGGCCGGATTAAAAATATATGTTGGCCGATTCTCAGACCTACTCAATATGCTCACAAAATTTCATGAGAATCGGTCAAGCCGTTTCGGAGGAGTAGGGGAACGAAAATTGTGACACGAGAATTTTATATATTAGATTCCTATAATATTTTTTAGATTCCCGAACGCCCAGGCTGTGCTACAAGGATATGGTATGACTGAATGCACTCTAGCAGTTGCTATAAATGTCAATCCCGATAAAGATTCAAGCGTGGGACAAATTAACTCAAACACTGTTGTTAAGGTAAATAATGTTACAAATTAAAAAACACCAAACTTTGAATAAATCATACGTAAACAGTATTGTAAAGAAGATCTACAAATTTGAATACCATAACAGAATTATTAGGGTTAATATATGCGAGACCCTAAGGCAAAACTGCTAAAGTTTGATTCGAGATTACGATGTTTCGACTTTACTTAAACTCGTCTCTGTGGGGCTATTTATTTTTAGACATTATTAATTAGAATCATTTGGCGCGAATGGTGCGCTTACATTACAAAGCCAAATGATTAGTGAGGGGACATAAACGTCGACATTTTAGCAAGGCTAGTGTTGTACCAGTACACCGGCATAGTATCGGATTTTTTTCCTAATAATATAAAGATGTAAAACTTACTTTTAAATTGTCTTTGACATATGTAAACAGGCAAGTTTTTAATCTATTTATGGTATTCACAGATTGTACATCCAGAGACGGGTAAAGTTTTAGGACCAAATCAAGAAGGAGAAATATGTGTGAAGAGTGCAATGATAATGAAAGGATACATTGGAAAGAGAAAGCAAGATGACTTTGACGAGGAAGGATTCTTCAAAACTGGCGACATTGGATACTATGATGAAGATAAATATTTGTACATCGTTGACAGACTAAAGGAACTCATCAAATACAAAGCATATCAAGTATGTTATGAGTTTATTATTGAACTTTAGAAATAATACAAACACAAAAAGTAGATTCAATACTTCCTGACAATGACGAACGGACGAACGGACGGATGGACGGAAGATAGACTAAACTCTATAATTTTGTAATTAACCAAATTACTACTCAAATCAATCAATTTGGCTTAGAAACAGCCTTCTACCTACACATACGATTACTAAAAGAGATTTATCTATCTGCATATTATTTATAATGCCATTTGAAGAGAACTCCAAATTTTGCTGTAAAAGTTGCTATAGCTCCTCAAGTCTACAAATCTGGACAGCTATTTTGTAACGTCATTAAATATAATTTATTGTGTCCTATGTTGCAGGTTGCTCCAGCAGAATTAGAAGCAGTGCTGCTAAAGCACGCAGGTGTACGTGACTCAGGAGTTGTGGGTGTACCGCATCCTTCAGCCGGTGAGGTGCCTCTCGCCTTTGTTGTAGTTCAGCCGGATTCCAAAGTTACTGAAGCGGAATTACAACAGTTTGTCGCTGAACGAGTAAGAGTTTCTATTAATCTTTTTATTGAAAAGATCAAATAAGAAGTTCTAGAGTAACTGATGATAACTAATAGACATCAATAGAGACGGCGTATGTAGAGCTGAGATGAAATGAAAAAAGTATTAGGCCATAACATAATCTTTTCTTGATTTTTGTACATTATAATTAATTTAATTGATTTTTGAATTTAAATTTCCCCTAATTATTTGATGAACAATCACCTTTTGTAATGTAAATCTTTATTGAATTTTTATTTGATTTTATAATGAACTAGCTGTCAGCCGCGACTCCGTCCGCGTGAAATGATGAAAAAAATTTTTGTTCCCGGCAATTATTCGAATTTTTCTCGCCGTAAAAACCTTCCTTTGAACTTCAACGAACATTAAAAAAAAGAATTGGCCAAATTGGTCCAGGCTACTGCCCACTTTGAGAATAATTATTTTTTAGCGCCCCCATATTTTCCCATATTTTAAAACCACTGTAGCTTCAAATTAAATTATCTAATTATTGTGATATATATATGTATTATATATTAACGGAGAATTCTAAACGAAACTTTTACTATAACCCGCAACTTGAGACCTGCAGCGCCCACAAGGGGGCGCTATCGCCCACTTTGGGAAAGACTATATAATTAACATATTTTATCATGTTTCCAGTTATCAAACCCGAAACATTTACGAGGAGGAGTGAGATTCGTTGAAGCTATACCAAAATCACTCACTGGAAAAATACTAAGGAAAGATCTAAGAAAAATGGTGAAATCTACAAAGAGTAAACTGTAAAAAGATATTACAAATTGACTTTTGTAAAGACTCCATTATTTTATTATAAGAGCAAATTAACATGGTTGTTAATGAAAATTAAAGCACATAAAGATACAGATATTTTATCGGCCTAAGCTCCTTTATGAGTGCCATTTATTATTAGACTAACTTGACCTTGTAGTCATACCAGTTCTTATTTTCTTACTTTTCTAAGGCTCCTTGTACACAAGGCAACGTTAATCGTCCAAACTATTGAATCGCCTTGCGCTCAACGACTTGAATCGCCGATGCGAGTTGTCTATTCATTCAATACAGGCGACGTCAACTGTATACATTTGCTCCGCCATCTTGAAAAATGAAACGACCTTTCTCATGACGATCTGGACAAACAGCTTGCGAGTGATTGGTCTTGGCGACAGGCGATGTTTAGGAATATCTATGACACTGCATAACGATGTCGCTTAGCGACTTAAACCGGGCTTCAAAGATTTACGTTACCTTGTGTATGAGCCTAAGATTATTGGTGCAGGTCTTAAAACGATCCAACCAGTTAAGAAACCTTCCATTAGATATAAGATCTCATTACATGGTGAACTGTTTATTATAAATTGTTATGTATTTTATAAAAGTGATTTTGGTATGAAATAAAAATTATACTTGTTTGGATTTTTTTTTTAATTTTATTAATTTACTTCAATGCCTGTTATACAGTCTCATTTAATGAATAAAAGCCAACGTTTCCATAATAATGATTACGTGAACATAAAACGTAATTTATACAAACTTATCTAGAAATAAATAAATGTCAACCTCGGTACACGATAACAATGTTTGCTCTTACTGGTGTTGTTGACTTATTATCGAAATTCACAGAGTATTGAAATTTATGCGTGTCAAGAGGTGCACGCGGTGTTCTGTAACACGATCATTGGTCTGTGGAAACCATTATCCGTATCAAGGATTGTCGTATGAGACGTCATAGAGAACGGTTTAATAATGTTGAAAAATCCTAAATATGTGTACGGAGACGAAGATCTATGTTTACCAGCTCATTTGAACTTTGGATCGTTTATGTTGAATAATTTATGGATGAATAAAGACAAAGTAACATTGGTAAGTGCTCTTTCTTGATAAAGAATTATCGTGAACTAAAAATAAAAGCAAAATTCGATAATTATTTTATTTATAATTTTGTTTAAAATGTAATAGGCGATGTTACAGTTAGTTATTTGTTGACGCTAGTCCTAATACCCTTTCATTTATATTGTACTAGCTGTGGCCCGCGACTTCGTCCGCTCGGAATTAAAAAAACTTAATTAGTAGCCTTTGTGTTCGTCCAGACTATATTCTACAACTATGCTAAATTTCATAGATACCCGTTGAGTTGTTTTGGAGATACCTTCCAACAAACATCCATCCATGCATCTAAGCTTTCGCATTTATAATAATAGTAGATCTAAATAAAATGTAAGTGTGATTAATGTATGAAATACGAACGTACTAAACAAAAATCATTATCTAAAATCCTAAGTCTAATTAATTTATAACGCGTTTGTGCACCCTGTATATGACGGTATGAGCGAGCTCACTAATAAACAAAAAAAATTTAACTTACCTACTGTTTTATTTCTAAGCGTAGTACGAAAGTGTCTGGACAAACCCGCAATGAGATTATAGTTACTTTTATTGTAATGTGTATATTGTTCCTTGTTTATATAAATAAATTTAAAAAAAAAAACTTTTTTTGTAAAATTTAAGATCAATGGATCAACACACGAAACACTGACTTGTGGAGAAATAGCTCAAGAGGCTATGAATCTAGCGATATCACTGAAAAACATTGGTTTTAAAAGGGGCGAAGTGGTAGCAATTTGTTCAGAAAACAGAAGAGAATTCTGGGGTACTGTTATTGGAATTGTGTGCGCCGGTGGTGTGGTGACTACTATCAATCCAGGATATAGTAAAGGTTATAACAATTTATTATTAAAGGACTCAATATTGTGATACATTAAGATATTATGTTTTAACAGTGGTTGAATTGGCCCGACTCGCCCGATGAAATACCACGACCACACAGAAGACAGGCGTGAAGTGGAAGCAATTCCGCGTTTCGTCTGATGAGTGTGCGTCCCGGAGGCATTATATAGTCCTCTTTCCCTTCCCACCCTCTTTCTTATAAGGAAAGGATGAGAAGTGGAAGTGGCCTTTCCGGATGAGAGGATGCATGGTAAGAGAAAATATTTTCTATCTGTGCATCTTCTCCTCTGTCGATTAAAGGTATGCCACGCATATGCAATTGCGTATGTCTATGGGCAACGGCCACATCGCTATTTCAGCGATTTCAGGTGGCCGCTCGCTCGTTTGCCTTCTTCTCATATAAAAAGGAACTGTTTGTTATTCATTTATTTATATTAACACTAAATATTTCGAACCTAAAAGAAAATTATTTGGGTTTCTTTCATAAAGTAACACGAAGTCTTTGAAATATTAATATCAAGGGTTGCATTGTTGTTGGGAATATTTTCTTTATTTTTAATTATTCGTAATAAAAGCGTTTTTAATAATTTCAGATGAATTGATACATGTTTTGAATATATCGAAACCAAAATATATATTTTGTTCACCAAACACCTACAATATGTGTGAAAACACACTGAAATCAATGAACATTGTTAGTAAAATTATTTTATACGGAGATGTATCCAATAAAGAAAATAATCTATCATATAGCAATTTAGCAAAGACAAATGGAAAAGATGTTGGAATGATTGACTTTGAAGAATTTGAAGTAGTAGAAGTCAATGGACAAACAGATACTGTTTTTATATTATATTCATCAGGAACTACAGGACTACCGAAAGGAGTTATGCTCACTCACCTTAATGTATTAGTTTCATGCTGTTTGTACGTATGAATATTTATTATTCGTCTAACTGCTACTAGCAGTCGCCCGAAATTCCGTAAGCGCGGTGTTAAAAAAAACTTAATAGCCTATGTGTTCTTCCAAACTATGTTCTATATTTATGCCAAATTTTATCAAGATCCAAGCAAGGCTGCTTTTATAGACCTTCAAACATCTATCCATCCATCCAAACATTCGCTTTTATATTAGCAAGATTTGTGAAGGGCTCTTCGGAGGAATAGAAATACTCTTGTTATGAGATAATTAATGAAAAATTAATGTCTTTTGTTAATCTTTACTTCTTTGTGATTTTTTGTGTAACCAATAATTAAGTAACTCTATTCAAGGGAACCAACTATGCAATCAGATAAAATAAATCTTACAATAACGCCTTGGTACCATACAATGGGACTTATCGGAACGTTACGAGGTCTATCAAAAGCGGTCAAAGTGGTCTTTTTACCAAAATTTGAAATAGAATCGTATCTCAACACAATAGAACGATACAAGGTAATAAGAGTACAGGATACAAAAGTAGAACCACATGAAAGTTTACAAGCTAAGAGCAAAACACTTTTTTGTAACAATATTACGAGTATCTGATGTTAGTTAATAGCCACTACATATTTTCGCTATTAATAAAAAAAAATTAAGATCGTTTACTTATAGACATTATTAATTAGAGTCCTTTGGCGCGAATGACGTGCTTTCGTTACAAAGTCCAGTGTCAGAATGAATAGTGAGGGGAGACAAACGTCGACATTTAAGTAAGGCTAGTGTTGGGTCAATATTGGGCCACATTTTTGGATTTTCTTCCTAACATTACTTATATTGTGTTTATGAAATCTTGTACATTTGTTTGTGAATGATAAATAATACTTGAATATTGATCTGGTTCTATTGCTGTTTGAAGCTACTCACAATTTATTATTAAAAGATATTTCACAGATTAATTTGCTAGTAGTTGTTCCACCTGTGTTGGTCGCACTTTGTAAATATCAATCTAACCATGACGTCAGTTCTGTTAATGTTATATATTCCGGCGCCGCGCCTTTACATGGAGATACTATAAAGGATGTTCATAAAAGGTAATTAATGATTTCAGTTGTAAGCTGTAGTAAGTGATACGGTACTTGCTTCTTCTAGTCTCGACTTATTTTGACTCGTAAACTTTTTGCAAAACTAACCTAAATATAATTATTATGTTGTTGTGCACGATTAATGCTAATTAAACATTTACTTATAAATGGCACTAAGGATGTAATTGGAAGGTTGACAATTAAGCATGTTTGCAGATTTCCCAAACTAGAATCAGTATTGCAAGGATATGGGATGACTGAGGTCACGCTGGCAGTTGCGAGGGATGTCCAAAGTAAAGCACATTTGGCTAAGCCTGGTGGAGTTGGATTCATAGTAAAGAATGCTGTTATTAAGGCACGTACTTTTGTAAACATAGAATTTTCTGTGGATGGATTTATACCAAAGATGATTCTGTTTGTTAAAATTAATAATTTGGTCTCATAGGTCGTGGACATAAATACAAGAGAGCCTTTAGGTCCAAACCAACCCGGTGAGATATGTGCGAAAGGCGTTATTATAATGAAGGGTTACGTTGGTAAAAGTAAAGAAGATGATTTTGACGAAGAAGGTTTCTTCAAAACAGGTGACATTGGTTACTACGATGAAAACAAATATTTCTTTATCGTTGATCGACTCAAGGAACTTATCAAATACAAAGCTTATCAGGTATGAGTAATTAAGATAGACAAATTCTTTAAGATATTGTTATTTATCATGTAAGTAATTTAAAATGTTAAAATAGCTGAGTCATGAAGATGTAGCCAGTTATGCTAACTCCATTTCTAAATTCTAATCTAGTTAAGACTACCTAGAACAATTTGAAGTGACTGATTTTTTCTAAGTTACAATTCTGTTACAACTTTTAATCTATGTTCCTCACTTCAATGTATTAGGTGCCACCAATGGAATTAGAAGCAGTACTGCTACAGCACCCAGCAGTACGTGACGCGGGTGTGGTGGGCCTGCCGGATGCATCAGCAGGCGAGGTGCCTCTCGCATTTGTTGTGTTGCAACCCAATGCCAACGCGACAGAAAAGGAGCTCCAGCAATTTGTCGCTGATAGAGTATGTTTACATAAATAGTTTACCATCAATTTAGTTCCAATCTTTTAGAATTCTACTGAATTTCGGTTGCGTCATAACTCCTTTCTTAACGTGTTTCTTGTTTTTCTTCTGCCTATAGCTCTACACTCTTCATTTCTATTGCAGTGGATGGTTAGATTACTTACTTTACTACATTAATCTATCTTACTAATATTATAAATGCGAATGTTTGGATGGATAGATTGATGTTTGTTAGAAGGTATCTCCGCAACGACCCTACAAATCTCAATGAAATTTGGAACAGATGTAGAATATACTCCAGAAGAAAACATAGCCTACCTATTGAGTTTTTTTAATTCCGCGCGTACGGAGTCGCGGCGATAACTATTATATTCGACATTTTTACTTGACCAGTAGTATATAATGCGAAAACAAAATCACTCATGTGTCGGTCAACGGTTTGTTTACCATATGTCTAAGCTTGGTTCATGACGTTTTGGATATGTCAAAATCGACCAGCTCTTACTGCTAGAGCCATCTATTGACAAGCAGACCGAGAACTTAGTTGCGCACCTAATATATTTTATAATATTTAGTTAATTACCTGCCGAAATATATTTTAAAGACATATTTAATTTTATCCACTCGTGGTTTAGTTTCTTACATTGTTCATTATATATTTTTCAGCTGTCAAATCCGAAACAATTAAGGGGCGGTGTGCGATTCGTGGAGGAGATTCCTAAGAACCCTAGTGGAAAGATATTAAGGAAACGCCTTCGAGAGATGATCAAGACCACAAAGAGTAAACTGTGAAACACATAGAGAAGGAATTTACTGTTACTAAGTAACTTCAAATTAGATAAAAATAAATTTATTATCAATAATCTTCTAAATAAAGCCTTTCGCTAAGTTGTTTGTTATATTTTTTTTTGCTTTTCCTATAATTTATATATTATATTTCTATTCATAGGTTCCTGAATTCATGTATATTATATATTTATGTTGCTTAATTTGTTTAGTATATCCAAATGTAAACAGTATATACATTATAATACATTATTTATTTATTCCTGACATATATAACAGTGGTAGAGCCCGCTTTAACATCTTCGCACGAATCGGCCCGGCTCGCCCGGTGAAATACCACGACCACACAGAAGACAGGCGTCAAGTAAAAGCAATTCCGCGTTTCGTCTGATGAGTGTGCGTCCCGGAGGCCTAATTTAGTCCTCTTTCCCTTCCCACCCTTTTTCTCAAAGGATGGGAAGTGGAAGTGGACTTTCCGGATGAGAGGATGCATAGAAGGGGAAAATGTTTTCTTTCTGTGCATCCTCTCCTCCGTCGATTAAAGGTAGGCAACGAATATGCAATTGCGAATGTCTATGGGCAACGGTTACTTCGCTATTTCAGCGATTTCAGGTGGCCGCTCGCTCGTTTGCCACCTTATGATATAAAAAAAATATCCTGATATTTATATGTTATATACCCCTCTATCTATGTTATTCTTTCCTTTCCCACTGGGTTGCCTGGAAGAGATCGCTTGTAGCGATAAGGCCGCCCTTGCTTTGTAAATTAGTTGTCTTTTTTAATGTATTATGATAGCATTAAGAGTTAATAAATAAAATAAATAAATAAATGTTGTTTTTTTTAAGAAATCCTTGTGTTAAAATCATTACACTGAGTGTGAACGTTACATCATCGTCCTGTTCATAGCAAGGACCTTTTAAATACATTTTAATTGCATTGACGCTTAGGCGGATGTACTTTAAGCTTTTATAAATGGTTATGTAAACACATTTCTCCAAACTTGCTTGTCAACGATCGAATTTTGGCCACTCGCGCGACCGCGTCTCGACTTCGCGGCCGTCGCTTTCGCTTTTTTATATAAAAAATCTGTAACTCTCCTATCGATAGTCTGTCACTTATCACCGCGTACGGTACTTGTAATTCTGAGTCGGACGTCAATAACTTTCGGACTTGATACAGTGTAGTACAAAGAAATATAAACAAGTGATTGTTTTAAAAGTGACTCTATGTAACTGATTTTTTAATCGATTCGATAAATGATTGAAGTCAAACAAATGCTGACAAATATTAATAATGAATAACATTATAATTTTATCAGCTAAACTATTAATATATATTTGTTTATTAAAAAAAATTGTGCCGGCATTATGCGAAAATTTAGAAGACTTGGATGTGGTGAATAAAAATCTATTTTATACTAAAAATATGATTAATGATGATGGTAATCCAGGACTATTAAGGTTATTGAATGAAAAGAAATTTAACTCAGAAACACTTAAAAATCTAGGAAAAGAATCAGATGTTGTGAATCATTATGAAGATATAACTATATTAGATTCTAAAGGACATTTAAAAAATTTAAAATACAAATCAGCCAGTGTACCAGTGAAATTACAAAGAGTTTTACAAAGTGATAGAATAATGAAAAAACATAGTGACAAAGTAAAGGAAAGTGACACACAAGTTGAAAGTACTTTGAACGGGAACAACGAAAATGTCAATTTCGATTCAAGTAGACATAAATCGAAGTTTTTCGACGAACTGGGACGTAAGTATTATCTTTAATATTACAGTACTCTAATTAATCTAATCAACGTTCTTCATCAACAGCTCACTATACGTCCCTACAGAGGGGCTCGGAACCTACCCTAAGTTCAGGGTGATTAGGCCATAGTCAACCACGCTGGCCAAGTGCGGGTTGATTTCACACATATCTTTGAATTTCTTCTCAGATACGTGCAGGTTGCATCACGATATTTTCCTTCAACGTAAGAACGTCGGATAAATGTGCATATATAAATCGGAAATTGATAAACACATTGATATATAGCGGGATTCGAACCCAGGACTTGCAGATTGAAAGTCAAGTGCTTGACTACTGAGCCACCGACGCTCTCATGAAACGAGGATCAAAGTTCTTAGTAAAAGTTAAAGTACAACTCAAAATATTAAAACCACCTAACTAGAAAGAAACATACAGATGAATTGAGTACCTCCTCCTTTTCTAACTCGGTTAAAAATCGGTCATGAGGACGCGATACGTTTCCGTGTTATGCTAATTGCGCGAAGTATGCCGTTTCAATATTCTATACAGTGATAATTTTCATTTACATAAAAATCCATACACACTAACTAAAACATATTCATCTCAGTTTTCCGGTTGACAAAGGCTAATTCTTTGAATGTTTATATCTATGTCTGTTCCATTGTGACCTAATACAAAAGATGTTTAAATTATAAGGTGCCAAACGTGCAAGTAGCCACTTGAAATTGACGAAAAGGCGGAGAAACAGCTGCCCATAGATATCCGCAATTGCAGATGCATTGCCTACCTTTAATCAACGGAGAAAGGGACACACAGAACTTATCCCTTCCTATGAGTTCCCTCCTCCATCAAATCCAAAGACTAAAGTTAGGCCTATTTCCACTAAACCTGTTATTTATCTTTTAAAGTCAAATTGTGTGTATTTATTATTCTTCATCATAGATATAGATAGATCATAGATTTTCTAAATTTAATTATAGTAAACAACGTAACGTAAGAGCGTCGGTGGCTCAGAGGTCAAGCACTTGACTTGCAATCTGCAGGTCCTGGGTTCGAATTCCGCCATGTACCAATGTGTTCGTTCTTACGGTGAAAGAAAACATCGTGATGCAACCTGCACATATCTGAGAAGAAATTCAAAGATATGTGTGAAGTCAACCAACCCGTACTTGGCCAGCGTGGTTGACTATGGCCTAATCACCCTTTACTTAGGGTAGGCTCCGAGCCCCTCGGTGGGGCCGTATAGCGAGCTGATGATGATGATGAAACAACGTATCCAACATGAAAGATATGTTTTATACAAGTGTTTCGACAATGGAAACTCATTGAATCAATTAACACAATACACAGTTCGGAAGTGAGGCGTGTTGCGTTTTGTTACGACAGACCGCGTTAGGGAGAAAGCGGTGTCCGGTTTTCGTAATTGCACATTATTCAATGTTACGCGTAACTTATAACGATAATTTTCTGCAAATTAATATTATGTAAGAATTTGAATAATAATGTTTGTAGTTATCTACAATGGAATAAGATTTAACATATTTACATTTCAATAGGTACTTATACGACTTCTATGTGAATAATTTATTTTAAGAAGCAAGAACCGTATTTTTAACGGTAGTAGCCCGCTTTAACATCTTCGTACGAATTGGCCCGCCTCGCCCGGTGAAATACCATGACCACACAGAAGACAGGCGTGAAGAGGAAGCAATTCCGCGTTTCGTCTGATGAGTGTGCGTACCGGAGGTCTAATTTAGTCCTTTTTCCCTTCCCATCCCCTTTCTTACAAGGAAAGTGGGATGTGGAAGTGGACTTTCCGGATGAGAGGATGCATGGGAAGGGAAAACATTTTCTTTCTGTGCATCCTCTCCTCCATCGAGTAAAGGTAGGCAACGCATATGCAATTGTGTATGTCTATGGGTAACGATCACTTCGCCATTTCAGAGATTTCAGGTGGCCGCTCGCTCGTTTACCACTTTATGATATAAAAAAAAAACTAAATGTTACCCTTTATTTTAATATCGTTAAAAGTAATTTGAAGACAATAGTCAATATCTTTGAGTCCGCTGATTATTATTCTTAAATATAATTAATAATATTTCAAGATAATAAAATCCACAGGAGCTAATTCGTAATATTTGCAATGAATAATTTTCTCCTCACATTATAAATAGCAATATAACAAGCGTGCGAGATTGCTATTAAAATTTATATGAGTTGCAACATAAATCACGAGTGACCTTTGGGGAGGCAGGGGAAAGAGCGTACACTTTCTCTCAGCTTAATAACCTCACCACGTATAATGACGTAAATTCATGGCCGCGTAACTAAATGATGCAGTGTATATCAGTTAAAAGCGACCATGAATTTTAAGTAATTAAAACAGAAACCTATTTCTCGCAGCCAAGGTTAATTCTTTGACCAATTGAATTTCTAATATGTTACCACAGTCTTTTAAAACTCAAATATTTTTAAAGTATTAAAGCTAGAGTTACTAAAAACCTTTTTTAACAAATTATTTTTTTCTTTTTTTTTAAATAAAATATTTTTGTTAACAAATCAATGTTTATTGTACCATTCCAACTAAGCTATACTTGTGCTAGGACAAGGTTTACAATAGTCGAATTGCGGGATTCGATCCCCCGACCACGTGGTCGGAAATCCGTACCCTTAACCATTAGGCTATTGGCGCTAAAAATTCTAATAAATTAGCCTTACATTCAAGCTATAGCTTGTTGTATATTAGTAACGTAATAAAATTTTTGTACGGTGAAAGGTAACTGACTCCGTAAGTTCAATATCCATGTATCCAGTAGCGATATCCGTTATTGGATACAACTAAGTGAGAATGCGTCCGTAACCAATACTCAAGCGGAAACTTCCGCACGGATGTCGACTTTCCGACAACACAAGTAAGTTTCCACTGCTGAAACTTGTTAAGAAAAATATATTTTCGTATCTCTTTATCAAAGAGCATGCGATGGATAATACTATATACTTGAATGTGTTTTGGCTGAGTTACTAATTACAAAAATTCCTATAAATCTTACTAGCGGTTATTTGCGACTTTATTAGCACTGAATTACAAAAAAGGAAAAAATATACGATATAATATTTCCACCTTTAATTAACTTTAAAAACACCTTTCAGTGAAAGTTCCTTCAATATCGGCTCAGCCGTTACACAGACATGTGGATAGATTGTGAAAAAAAAATTTTAAGAGAAAATTAGTGCACTTAATTTAGGCTTAGAAGAACAACTTATTAGATAATTCGTAGAATTAATACATACATTAAAACAAGGCGCTAATACACAATATCTGAT